AAATGGTTAAGATTTCACAGAAAAAGTGACAAATTAAGAGTTTATCAGGTAGTAAAGGGGGAGAAAGAGGATTCCGCATCTCATCTAAAGATGTGAAGAAATTAAAGGGATTTGTGTTCAGGATTGGTTGGAGAGCAAAATGCTCATACGATACTTACAGGTTATACTAGAAAGGTATGTAAGAGTCCGATGATGAAATGTTTTATGAACCATACTGAAGATTGGGGTTATTATCTTACATGACTGGAGGCCACAGGGCCAGATAAATGGAGGGTTTAGATAGGTCATCTTAAAAAGTGAAGTTGCTTAGATGTGACGCAGCTGGTGGCGTTGAGGTATCTGGACAGCAGATGTTGGCTTTAAGATGTTCAAATGAAAAAAAAAAAAAACCACCAATATTTCAATAAAAAACAAATAAAGCAGAATACTTTTTAGGTCAAATAAACTTGTAAAATTCAACTCCCAAGGCCTAGTTTCATAGCTTCTTCAGCACCCGTGAGCAGGTGTACAGGATGATAAAAGATGTGATAGTATTTCTATAGAAGAGTACAGAAAAAGAGTCCAAGAGTTGAGCATGAGCAGAGAGGTTAGTAATCCAGGTAGTGTTCCAGCAAACCCTCTGTACTTTCTGACAAGGTAGTTCACACCTCTGGGGGGCTGAATTCCTTTGCTGTCCAGCTGCCATTGTCAGTGGCACTTTCTCATTAGCCCCATCCATCCTGCTGGCACCGTGCCGATCACCCTGTCTGACTGTGTTTGCGTTGAACAGTGTTTGGTTTTTGTTTGTGATGTTGGGCTCTTGCTGTCCCTTCAGTGGTACAGAGATTAACATTGCTTCATAGGAACCATCACCCCTTTCACCTGCACTTCATCGCTTCCTGTCACTGCCCAACACCACTCTGGAAGAGTCACCATAACTGTACTTTTAAAACCTGACGCTTGATGGGAACTAGGTTTAATCTTGAATGGAGATCACCAGTCTTCAGTTTAATTGTCATTTTGCTTGTATTTATTATCAGAACATTGTACTTTTGTTTGGATAACTCCTTAGTCAAATCGTTTTCATTATTGGCGCCTTCTGTCGTTTTCTGTGTATGTGTTCGGGGCCACACAAAATGAACACAGTTAACACTTTCCTCATTTGTGCTGCTTCTTCCACGGCACCCCCATAAGCTCTTCATCTTTTTATGTGTGTAAACATTTTGAAATTACATTTACTTATTTATTTGTACGTGCATGCCTGTGTGTTGTGTGTCTGCATGTGTGCCATGTGTGGAGGCTGGAGGATAACTGAAGGAGTTGGTTCTCTCTTTCCACCACGTGGGCCTGGGAGATCGAACTCAAGTCATCAGGTTTGGCTGCAAAGCACCCTCACCTGCTGAGCCATCTTGCTGGTCCAAAACAGAGTGGTAGTTTAGCCTGGTACAAGACTCTAGGGTGGCAGCTATTTTCCCATAGCATTTGAAGATCCTTAATTTTGTTGTCTTGGGACTTTGTTGAAATGAGATGTCAGCTGCCAGTTTAATTATTCTGCTGTCAGTGAGTTGTCTTCTATTTTTTTCTTTTTATCCCTCTATGCTTTTTCTCTGTTGGTCCTTCTCTGTTGTCTAATTGTAATGTATGCAGATGCAGATTTATTTTTATTTAACCTATTTATTCTTTGATGCTTAAGATATATAATTTTCTTTTTCAGTACTCAGGTCAAACCTAATGTTTCATACAGGGTAGGCAAGTAATCTACGCTGTACCATCAGCCTCTATTTACTTTTTATTTTGAGACAGAGTCCCACTAGTTGAGGCTGCCTTGAGCTCACTCTGAAGCCCACACAAGCCTTGAACTTTTAATCCTTCTATTTCACTCTCCCACATAGGACTGTAGGCCCAGCTTAGAAAACTTTTAAACTAAGTTTAAAAAAATGAAAATATAAGTAAAATAACTGGTAATTATAGTCTTCCTGTTTGCCATAAACACAAAAGAGAACTTAGTTATATTAACTGAAAATCTATTGTTTGTGTTTGACTTTATATTAGCAGAAGAAAAGAAGCGGGGTGAGTCTAAGAGTTTAGAAGGCCTGAATTTGTCTGGTTTCTGACAGAGTTTTGATTGGTTATTTATCTTTGGCAGTTTTACTTATTTTATTTATTTTATGTATATGAGTGTACTGCTTACATGTAGGTAGGTGCACTCGTGTTGTGCAGTGCCTGTGGAGGCCAGAAGAGGGTGTTTAATTCCCTCGAACTGGAATTACAAACTGTTATTAGCCATCATGTGGGTGCTGGGAATTGAACCCGAGTCCTCTGCTAGAGCAGTCAGTGTTCTTAACCACTGAGCCATCTCTTCAGGTCCCTGTGGCAGTTTTTTTTTATTTTGTAAGATATAGGTAATAGTTTATATTGTGCTTGTTTTTCAGCACAGCATTGTTTTTGTGAAGGTAATTGAGATGATTGATTGTGAAAATGCTTTGAAAAATTGTAGGCATTGTTCATAAGCTCTAGTAGTGTAATCTATGGGCAAATTATTTTAGAAGCACCTTAATGTTTATTTTCTCTAAATTAAAA